AAGTCACTGAAATCTGGGCAGTTCTGTTCAAGATGGGGCGTCAGGAACCAGGAAACTATAGGCCAGTTTACCTGACATCTATCGCCGGAAAAATGCTACAGTCTATTATTAAGGAAGTAATAGCAGAACATTCAGAAACGTTTATCACAATCAGAATCAAAACAGTTTCATGAAAGGGAAAACATATTTGATAAGTTTGCTAGAGTTCTTTAATGAAATCTGAGCAGTCTAAAAAGCTGATTCTGAGTCTGTACAGACCAGTGAATGTTCCTTGCAATTGTATTCTAAAACAGAAATTTGAATAGCAAGATCACCTCAGCCTCCTGGATGATTTATTGGTCTATGCTGAAAGAAATGTCATTTCCAGAGGCCCCAAGCTGGAGAGTCTTCAGCAGTTTCATCAGGGATCTCTAGGCATCCCATATGCTAGGCCAGAATCCACAATTCCGTTTGGTGACTGGGAATCTCCAAGCTATCGAAGGCATGATTTTCAAATTGTAATCCATGGACAAGACCGTACAGTACCATTAATGGTGTTCTCATTCCCATCGTAACCATGAGAGCACCTTGGGATGAACTTTTTTAATATGCAAGGATAAACAGTAATATTAATTTTGGATTATTACTGTTGGCGGATCGTGGTCAAGTGACGCATGGTCCTGCCTCAGCAGCACCTATTGCAATGCTGAAGGAAATCTTTGCCATAAACAGCATTCATGATTTATCTATCTGTAACAATGGTCCACTGTTTGCCAATGACTGGTTCCAATGCTTCACTGAGGCCTATGGTTTTGTTCATGCCTGGTTTTCTGACGTGCCAGTAAAAAAGCTGAAAGAGGGACTCTCACCGTCAAATCCTTATGAAAAAGTGATTGCGTCTCTTTATTCTTATTAGGTTATGGGTCTGTTTCACTGCAGAATGGTCTTGCTCTACTATAACTCTTGATGAGCAGGAGATTACACATACCTCCCAAGTCTTCCATATGTCATTCAACCATTCTCAAGGTGCCAGAGATAGAAAGGGTGAGCAAAACTGTGGACTAACCAGAGCATGAACATAGTACGTGACCATAAAGAACAACACCCATCATCACCGCAGCCAGAGAAGTTATTGTGTGTCCATGGCCAGAATTGGAGGGGCCAGGTTCATCCACAGTGTTACCTCATGTGCACTGATCGGGGAGTTCTCAGGAAAAAAACATCAGAATCCACCAGCAGAAGGCCCTCACAGGAATGAGCCAGTTGCCCAGCGGACTGAGTAGACAGCCTGACTAACCTACTACAAGGTTCACCTGCACCTCTGCAGGAAGACATTAATCCTAGGCCTCCTCCAAAAGAGCTCAGACACAATCAGGTCAATTGGTCAAAACATCGCAGCATCTGCTTCTATGACTCAGGGATAGACTCAGCAACTGTGTTTGGTCGGGTGGTGGGGGGAATGGTGGGGGGGTGGGAGGGTGGGGACTGTGGTGGGGGTGGTGCAGTAGATGGGGGGATGTAGGATAATGTTAACACTTTGTGATGTACCCAGTTTATAGTTTGAGCGAACATGTGGGTTACTATACTATGTAGGATTAATGGCTTTATGCCAGTGGATAGAACACATCATCAATAATATCAGGAATATCAGGTCACATGAACTGGGTCCTGAGTGTAAAAGGTTCTAGTGAAGTCCAGATCTACCGTGACTCTATACATAATGTAAATAATTACAACATGTTCATTGGCTTGCACTCGTACAGTATCAAGTCCCCATCTAAGGCAGCCAGAATCTGCCCCTGATATTAATACAAAACATTGAGCTGCCTAAACCGAAGTCTGAACTGCCCTCCCTAAACTTTGCTGCTTCTTTAACTCTCTCCCCTCCTTTGTGATGCTCATTAAAATCTACCTCTTCAACCAAGCACTTAGTTATCTTCCCTAATATCTCATTATGTGTCTCAGCTTCAAATCTTTGCTACAGTTATGAGGTTCATTGGTAGAATTTTGGGTTTATAAAAGTGCTATATTTTGGTATAGTACCTAAGTTGTGAAGATAATCTGAATGGGACATGTAACCTGTCTGATGACTGCCTGAGAACTGATCTGGATAATGTGTCTGCTAAAGATTAAAAATAGGCTCAGATTGGTTTTCCGGGTAAAAGGAGTAAGGCATTCACAATTGGAAACAATGGCAGTAGCATTTGTGTTTACAGCAGTTAGACTGATGGCCTCCAAAGTCCCAAGAAGATATTCAGAATGTAAAATTATATACAATTCTACCTTAAGTTGTCCATTTAGTTCCAAGAGAAAAGAGAGTTGGGCTCCAAAGTACAGCTAATCAGTACATCAAGCTGGATGTAAGTTCTACATGATTCACAATATCATGGACATGGGCTTTAAGAAAGGAGGATTTTTTCAAAATATCCCTGCAACTCACAAACACAACCAGTCTGCGGGGATCGGGGAGAAAGAGTGAGGGAGAAACACAGTGGGAGAGAAGCTGAGGTCAAATGTCTGTAAGATTCACCATGCATTAAAGCAGCTGGGTACTCGTGCTCTGACTGAAGAGACCACATTCGTGAGGAATTAGTTGAAACTGGAATATTTGCCTATCTTTAGTTAAAGGGAGGAATCTCCAGAAAAAAATCCTTATCATTAAAGACATTCTGGGGTTAAAAGTTACCAAGCTGGGCAAGGTAAAGAATTGGAGTAAACCCTCAGGAGCCAAGAATAATTTGGAACTGCATTGAGAAAATTGAATTTGAAGACAAGTAAGCCTATGAATGTGTATATAGGTTGCATTCAAAATAACAGGGAAGTTTGATTCTGTAGTTCAGCGAATAAGCTTCCCACAAAAGTAGTGTTTAGCCAAGCTGGCTTTTAGTTTGCTTTATTAAAGTAGAGGTCTCAACATATGAAACCTTGTTGTGTTATCCTTACAGCTATTATCTGGAAATTCAATTTTTTAAAAAATTTTAATACTGTGTATGGAGATTGTATTATTTGTAATGCATCCATAAAACACTTTGGGATATTTTATTATGCAGAAGATATGATTGAAATCCAAGTTTTGTTTATTAATCTTATATCTATCCCCTCTCGCTGTATACCATCAACCACTGGAGTCAGTCTCTTCATAATTTAAACACCTCTGTTAGATCACCCAATTTCTTCTGTTATAACAAAAGCAGTTATATTTCCTCACATTCTTCTACATTTAAGGATATCATAATTTAATTCATCATCCCCTCGTGATCTGAGGTCAGACTCAATGTAGAAAATCTGGAGTAGTCGATTTGAAGTTTGTTTTTGTACACTCAGGGATATTATATACTGACTTGGCATGAGTAATGAAATAAAAGACACTAGGCTAGATTTTCCATTTGACCACAGTAAATAGGCAGAAAATCTAACCTACCTACGCTTTTTGCATCTCAATGGAAAGGGCCAAGAAACCACGGAGGGGAAATGATTCAGAAAGCCTAAAGTCAAAAAATTCTAAAGTCACAAACCACCATCTTATTAGAAGAACTCATCAAGAGGCAGATACTTCAATCTTTCTTTAAAATTAAACTACAACATTGTGTGAAATAAGAGATTACAGTGAATATCTAAAGTTTTCTAAACCCGTTTAATTTAAGACATAATGGTAACTATTTCCAAGTTTTTATTTTTCTCCAAATCTCCTGACACTGAATTGGCACATGGTCAGTTCGTCCATTTGCTGAAGCCATTGTTGTGATCCCAGTTTCTATGGAAACCTCCACAGACCCTCTGTTGCCCCACTCACCATGACCAGGGCAGTAAGCATCGTGAGAGTTTGAAAGTGGGATGGTGAGAGGAATAGTGAACAGGGCAGAAAGGGAGGCAGCAAGGTTTGGAATCAGAGGATGTGAGAGCCAGTGAGCAAGAAGCAGCAAAAACTGTGTTCTTTTTGGGCTAAGTCTGATGTGTGCCACGTTTGGATAGCTGGAATGTTACTGGCAGTGACCTCACAGGCACTGGAACTGCAAGTGTAGTGAGTGAACCTTCTGTGGTTGTGGTGTTAGCAAACACTTTTTTTTTGGAAAGGAAGTGAGATGTGTTCCACTGAGTAACAGATAGAAGATAATACACTCAAAATAAAACGTGTAATCTGCCTGCACCAAGAAGGGTATCAAAATAGTTAAGGATGAAGTTGAAAGAAACCTATAGGTCTTAGTCAACTCAATTCTCAACATGTCCAACTACTGCAGAGCAGCAACCAATAAGGCCATTTGGATGTTAAAGTAGACAATAAGTTGGGAAGGAAACACATGCTCATAACAAGCCACAAATGTGTCAATTATCATTTGGTGTACACAATATAACATTTGTCCAGGGTCCATACCTAAATGTGGCACTGGATTCTTTTCATATTCAAATAAGAGGTTTATTACCTATTAGATGCCCTTCTGTAAAATTGGGTTGACCTGCACGAATAGCTAGCACAGGCAAGCTTTGTTCAGGAAACATGCATCTCTGACAAATATCCTTATCTGAATGGGAAGTTAGAAAAGGCAGGGGTGCTCCTCCCAGCACTGTATCTAAAGAATTACAGCTATTGCTGGCCCCTTTGCCCCACAATGTCATTGACCTCGTATCAAATGAGATGGCATCACCCCAAGCACTGTCAAACTCTTCCCAATCGTTGACCACTTCCCAATGGGAACCATGACCCTCCCCTCCTCTCAATTGCACTCCTCCTGTTATCTCCACTAAGAACATAACCTGAGGACAGCTACTTAATGTTCAAGTCATTTTCTCTTGTGAGTTGCTTGGAGGTCACCAATAGAAGTTTGCAGCCCACTGACCAGATGACGATGAGGCCTGAGGGCTGGTATTGCATGGACCTTGAAACTTCATATCCAGTGAGCTACTTGAGTTGACTCCACTTGCCTAGATTTGGCCCAGCAACATTTCTGGACTCTGGTGTGGATGCATTGGAAATGGGAAATGATCATGTTATATAACATTCTCTTTGCCTTTCTTAATTCCAGTGTAAACTTGATTACCAAGCTTGTTCTGCACGTAAGAAGATCACCATGAGATGCAAAGGACCTTGTCCTTGTCTTCCTGACCAAGAAAGTGTGAAGCTGAAAAGCGAAAAGACAGGTAATTCACAGATAAGACCAAGATAATCCAATATATTTAAGTGTTCATTTATAATTTACTCCTCTATTCAATAACACTTCTGAGACAATGATTTGATTCAAATTGATTTCTAAAACATATGAAGGATTATTTTAAGATTGGAAGCTTGAGGGGGAATTTAAAATATAAATATTGGTTTTCAGGTTTTGAAATTAAAGTCGGTGATGTTACCTCTAGGGATATGAATCATATTTCTATTAGAACTGTGAAAGTCTAGTGCAAACACATAAAGCAGAAAACAAGCAAAACAAGGTAAACAAAGAAGATCTTTCTTAATGTGGATTATCGGTATGGAACTTGCATGGAAATACAGATGGCTTCCATTTTCAAGCATCGAGGTCCCTAATGTTGGTCCTGTTGAGACAGAAAGCACACAAACTTTGTACCGCCTGCTCATTTCCATTATTGTAACATGAGCCATGCTTGCCCCCTAAAGTGGGAGAGGGCCTCACTCATTAGCAGGAAAGTGCTGCTGATTGCATATAAGTGGCTGTAAGTGGAAGCTGAAAAAAAAACACCAGGGAAGAGAAAGGTCTCTAGGGTTTACAGATGAGATACAGCATTAGTGATAGAGGTCCACAAGAGAGAGAGGTCATATTTGACCTCTTGACAAAGAAACTGTCGAGACATATCCTCAGAGAGAGTTAAGAGCCAGGTGGTCATGGAGGTCAGTTCTTGAAAATTGACTGTGAGAATCTGCCATAAGCTGTTGAAAGACCTCGCAAGGATGAACAAAGTCAGCAGTGCAACTTAACTGGACAACACATATGCACTACATCACCAATCTCTCACACTGCTCAATGCCTATGTACCTATCACTCATGGAGTGCCACAGGGATCATGCTGGGACTGTAAATATTTACAATGTACAGATTAATGACTTGGGCAAGGAAAGTGAATGAACTATTGCCAAGTTTGTGCCTGACACAAAAACAGGTGAGCAGGCAAGCTGTGAGAATGACACAGAGAGTCTACATGGGCATATAGACAGGTTAAGAGGGTGAGCAAAACCTTGGCAGATGGAATATAATGTGGGAAGATGTTAAGTAACGCACTTTGGTGAGAAGAATAGTGCAACTGAATAACATTCAAACAGAGAAAGATAGCAGAAAGCTGTAGGATGGAGGGATTTGGGAGTCCTTGTGCATAAATCACAAAAAGATAGCATACAAGTTCAGCACATAATAGGGAAGGCAAATAAAATGTTGACTTTCATTTCGAAGGGAATAGAGTATAAAGACAAGGAGAACAAAAATAGAAATTGCTGGAAAAACCGATCTCTGAAGAAGGGTCACTGGACCCAAAACATTAACTCTGCTTTTTCTCCACAGATGCTGCCAGAGCTGCTGAGCTTTTCCAGCAATTTCAGTTCTTGGTTGTGACTTCCAGCATCCACAGTTCTTTGGTGTTTTTGTTTAGTATAAAAGCAGGGAGGTTTTGCTAAAACTATATGAGGCACTAGTTAGATCACAGCTGGAATATTATGAACAGCTTTGGGCCTTTTATCTAAGGGACAATGTAGTAGCACTGGAGGCAGCCCAGAGAGTGTTCATGCAGCTGAATCTGGGAATGGAAGAACTATCTTATAAGGAGAAGTTTAGTAGGTTGGGCCTGTACTCATTTGACTTCAGAAGAATGAGAGACAATCTTATATGACATTCTTAGGGTCCTTTACAGGGTATATGCAGAAAGATTATTTTACCTTGTGGGAGAGTCTAAGACTAGAGGGCATAGTCTTAGAATACTCAGTCTGCTCTTGATCATCTGTAAAGTGATGGAAGGTGTCAACAACAGTGCTATCAAGCACTACCAGTTCAGCAATAACCTGCTCAGTGATGCCCAATTTGTGTTCTGCCAGGGCCACTCAGCTCCTGACCTCAATGCAGCCTTGGTTCAAAAATGGACAAAAGAGCTGAATTCCAGAAGTGAGGTAAAACTGATGGCCCTGGACATCAAGGCTGCATTCGACCAAGTGTGGTATCAGAGAGCCCTAGCAAATTTGGAATCAATTGGTATTCAGGGGCAGAAATTCAGCAAAGATCCTTCCATAGCACCTTCCAGACCCACGACCATTTCCATCTGGAAGGGCAAAGACAGCAGATACATGGGAACACCACTATCTGCAAGTTCCCTTCCAAGCCACTCACCGTCCTGACTTGGAAATATAGCTCCATTCCTTCACAGTCGCTAGGTCAAAATCCTGGAAGGGTATTGTGGGTCAACCCACAGCAGGTGGACTCCAGCGATTCAAGAAGGCAGCTCACCACAACCTTCTCAAAGGCAGCTAGGGACTGGCAATAAATGCTGGCCAGCCAGCAATGCCCGCATTCCACAAATGTGTAATAAAAAACAATGAAGGGGTCAGAGATAGTAGGAAACTGACACTGGAGAATCTGAGATAACAACGTGTAGTGCCGGATGAACACAGCAGGCCAAGCAGCCTCAGAGGAGCAGGAAAACTGATGTTTCGGTTCGGGATCCTTCTTCAGAAAACATTTGATACACATTTGATGCAGAGATGAGGAGGAATTGCTTCTCTTAGATGGTAGTGAACCTGTGGAATTGTCAAGGATGGGTCATTAATTATATTCAAGGTTTAGAAAGGATATTTTTAATCGGCAAGGTAATCAAGAGTCATGTGGAAAAGGCAGGAAAGTGGATTTTTATATCAGACATGATCTAATTGAATGGCAGAGCAGACTCAATGGGCTGAATGACCTACTTCTGCTCTTACATATGGTCTTGTAGTCATCATGCTGGAAATCTGATAAACAAACAAGGAATGCTGGTAATATTTCACAAGTCTGGCAGGATATGTGGAGAAGGCATTCTGATTTGAGGGCAAATTTACACGTGAGTTCTGCTCTGGAAATTCAGATAATGACTTTGATTGGGTAGCATTCAGGAGAATGACGATGAAAATGCACTCCCAGATGTTCAATGCATTGGCAGGCTTGCCAGACAACCTCTTGTCACTGTCAAACAACATGGAGCTGTTCAGCTGTCATGTGGCAGAGAGAATTGTGCTTAGTTTGAAGTCTATTGCATCCACCATGGAAGTGGTGACCAGCTTCATGACAGCACTTGTGGGCCCAGCCTTGATGCAGTGTCTGATGGCCAGTGTCCCAGCATCCATTGCAACACAAGCAGAAGCTGCCAACATGTCAGTGCTGCAGTAGAAGCTAGATGAACTTCAAGCTTGTTATTGGCTCAGCCTGCAGGTATCACGGCTGCAGATGTCAGAGCTGAAAAAGGCAAACATTTCCACATGGAAATCCCCAGAATCCTATCCTCGTAAAGATTACTAGGCTTGCTGAAGCACCAGGCCACGTATGTCACAGGTACATATCCATTGTCTTTGTGTGGTCGGGTGGTGGAGGTGGAGGGTTATATGCTCTGTGTAGAAGAGATATCCTTTATCTCCAACCAGCCAGCCTCTCATCCCACCTGGTGGGCCAAAGGCAGTGAGAATGGCAGATTGCCTCAGGCTGAATCTTACAGTTTTTTGCTAAGTCTGGTTGCATTGCACCATTGTGAAGGGATTCTAGCCGTGAGGCCCAGCAAGGTTTCTCACCACATCTTACCAAATGCACCTCATTAACTACTTAGCCCGCCCACATGACACAGTTCACGTCTGATACTATTCCCACGTTGACAAACAATGTTCCCCGGAAAATTTGCCACTCACCAGGTATCTGCTGAAAAACTGCTATCATTGTACCCACACCATCCTTAGAAATTGCACCTGGACAAGTTGTCAGTCCAGAGCTACCCTGCACACTTCCTGTCATTTACCCTGAACATGACAGACAGTAGAACCGGAGCATCCTGCTTTGTGTGCAAGGAGCTGGGATCCTGCTGGAAAAGGGTGATGCAGATGCAGGATGGCTTCTTTCCTCAGTGCCAGCAGTGGAGGCCACAACACCAAACCATATCAGCCTGGCCCAAGGTTGCAACCCAGGACAGTTCTGTCTGAGCTGACTAGAGGAATGCGCACTAATATGGGATGAAGATCAATGTCCTTCCCCAGGCTACTGACCACCATCTTCCCTCTGATAGCTCACTCTCACTGCTGCCTGGTCCTGTACACACCTCCCACTAAGTCTCATGTTCCAGGATTCTCACTATTACCTGCATCATCTTCCCCCGTCGCTGACATCTTCTCCAACCTCTGACATCACACACCCTGTCTGCTGACTCACTCGCTCGGGACACCTCTCCACCTGCACCAAAACTAACAATATGTCACCAACTTTCATCTCTCAGAATACCTGCCTCGCTCTGATCCCAGCAAGAAGACTGCTGGAATGGCCAGTAAAGGTCAAGATGGGTGGTGGGCTGCCGGACATTCGGCTTATCATCCCATGAGAGGAGCCTGACTCTGACCCCCTGTGCAAAAGCTACCTCGGTTAACTAAGGCTTGCTCACAACCATGACAAGCTTCCTAGCTTGGTGTCCATGCTAACTGGCAAGGCATTACACAAGTATTACAAACCTGGTTTATCTGGCTGAGGGGCAAAGTGCAAAAATGCAAGGCAAGGCAACAAAAGGGAGGGACACTGTGAGGATCCAGGTAGGTTTAGAGTGAGTGAGCATCATGAGAACAAGCAAACAGGTGGGAGATACAGCTTGGTCCAGTCCATGAGCTCTGTGTGTGTGTCCCAGAGCACACAGTGCCCTTGCTGCAGCAATATGAGAGTTACCCGTGCAGCATTGAAGTGCAGAAGTGTAGTGTAAGAGTATTGGTGATGTGCCATGAAGGTTCTTTGAAGCTGGCATATGTTGAGTGCCAATCTGAAGTCACCAAGTGCGTGCTCTGACTTCCATGTTGAAAATTCTCGAATTCAGCTAGATGGCATATTTGGTAGGGTAGAAAGCTAAATATTAAAATGGAAAGTTTCTGCATTTAGAAGACATTTAAAAAGCTATATTCCTTCCTAATTGGCAACTCATTGCTGCCT